TCTCAGAGCTCAACCTCCATCTCAGACCCCGCCCCCCAACCCCGAGTTGGACTTCTGAGCTCCTCCCCGACCCCAGAGCCTGTCCTCTGACTCCACAGTTCGACATCTACCACAGAAATCAAACCTGACCTCGAAACCACAACCCCAAGTCGGGCTTCTGAACCCCCCCCTGATCAGTGGTGTGCACTGTGGCCAGGGTCAAGCTACCGGGGCTCACCTCTGACCGCAAGCCTGCCCCCCACTCTGCACACCCAGGTGTCCCGGTGCAGAAAATGCCGAAAGCGCTATGAGCCGGTGCCTTGTGACAAGATGTGGGGCGTGGCTGAGTTCCACTGCCCGAAGTGTCGGCACAACTTCCGGTGAGGGTGCTGACCCCCACCCCACCCTCCACGCCCCCTCCCCCCCACCCCCAGCCCTGCCCTTCCCTTCCCTGGTCCCACCCTGGCCCGGGCCTCACCTTTGGACCCTCACGGCCCTGCCCGCCCCCAGGGGCTGGGCACAGATGGGGTCCTCATCCCCCTGCTACGGGTGCGGCTTCCCCGTGTATCCAACACGGATCCTCCCTCCACGCTGGGACCGGGACACGGACCGCCGCAGCACCCATACCCACTCCTGCTCGGCCGCCGACTGCTACAACCGGCGAGGTGAGGGCCTGCCACGTCCCCGTGACCTCCCTCGCTCTGGGCGGTCTCTGTGACCTTGACTCCTGGGACATCCGCCTCCCGGGCCTTAAGTACCAAGGTCTCTGCCTGCTTCTTCCACGTGCCTCCTAAGGCCTCAGTCCCCAAAGCCACGTAGCTCATCCCGTGACATCAGCCTCTCCTTTCACATCTCCCACGCACCGGCCTCCCATCGATCTCCAGGCTCCAACACCAGACCCTCCCCCTTCTAATACCCATCTCCCATGGCGTCAGCCACATTCCGTGCTCTTGCCCCTGAGACTGAGTGGTTCCCCCTGTGTCCTCGTGACCTCTGCCACGGTCTCTGTGTCTTTGGTTCCTGTTTTGTCTTCTGTAGTCTCAGGTGATGCCCATGTCCCTGGGTCTCTAGTGGCTTCAACACCTGTGACTTTCATCTCTGAATTTCCTGTAGGTCTGGCCCTACGGCCTGTAGCCTCAGCCCCTCCCCTCCCGAGCCCCCATGGCTGCAGCCCCTTTGCCCCCAGAGTCTTGCGTGGGCCTCAAGCTCCATGACCTCAGAACCTCTTCCTCCCCAGAGCCCCACGTGCCTGGGACATCCTGCGCTCACCCCAAGAGCCGGAAGCAGAACCACCTGCCTAAAGTCTTGCACCCCAGCAACCCCCACATCAGTAGTGGCTCCACTGTGGCCACCTGCCTGAGCCAGGGGGGCCTCCTGGAGGACCTGGACAACCTCATCCTGGAGGACCTGAAGGTGGAGGAGGAGGAGGAAGAGGAGGAGGAGGGCGAGGGTGGGCATGGGGAGTGACCCCGGACAGGTGCAGATGCAAACCGGACACAGTCTGGATATTTTGTGTTGTTATAAAATATGAGCTCAAACTGAGATCTAAATGCCCTCGAGGAGCCATTTGGGTCTGCGACATTGGCAGGGGGATTCCTGGGTCCCGTTTTCAGGACCCCGGGGAGCAGATTCACAACAGGAGAGTGTGTGGGACGTGGCCCGCACTAAGTCACAAAGCAGGGGTAGCCAGGACGACTTGGGCTCCTGCTGACAAACATCCTCTGGGACCTGGGGGACAGATGGACAGACGGTCACAGCCTCAGGGGCCGGATCAGCATGGCAGCCTTCTTGAGAGAGTAAGCCCCGCCACGAAACTCAGCCCAGTAGACCCCATCTTGGTAGCGGCTGCGGTAATGGCCGCCACGGTGCCACACGCCATTGAGGTTGGAGTGGGCACAGGCATGGTACCACCAGCCTCCCCGCTGGTACAAGGCACAGTTACCTGAGGAGAGAGAAAACCCATGTCCTCTTACCAGAATAAAAACCTCTACGAGCATCTCAGCGCAAGGCTTTTGCCACGCATCCCCTGGCCCTTCCCACTCTTAGTGAACGCAACCCTGATCCTCTCTCCTCACCAGATTAAGAGCCCTGGCCCCTTTCTTTTTTAGAGTAATAACTTTAATTCCTTCCCTATCCCCCTACCAAAGTACACGTTATACCTTTTCCACTCTTTCTGAAAACTAGAAGCTCTACCTTTATCAAGGGAAAAAATCTTCCCTACTTCCTTTCTGGAATAAGACTGCTAGCTCTCCTTGCCTTTCACCAGAACAGGGGGAAGCAACTGCCTCATGAAAGAAGGAATCTAGGCTCTCTGTCCCCTCACCAGAATAAAAGTCCTCCCCTCTGTTCTCTTGCTTACCCTGATCCTTACCAGAGGGAAGTGTCACTCCGCTCTTTTCATTCTTTGCATTCCCTCCCTAGGAGTCCCTCCTCCCCTGTCCCCACTCCCCACCAGAATAAGAGCTCTGCTTACCAGAATAGGAGTCTCGATCCCTATCCACGGTGCTGAAAGGCTTGTCATTGTGCCAGGAAAGAGAGTCTCCAGCATCTCCATGGTACTGGCCAAGCCGTAGGCGATAGTGGTCACTCTCAGGCTCCAGGGAGAAACCATCATAGTGGGCACGTGCACTACGCCCTCCCCAATCCTCCAGGAGCACCAATAACTCATGGTCCCCACGGCTGGTCAGCTGATGCACAGGTTCCAGACCCAGCCAGTATTCTCCATCAGGCTGCCCGAAGCCCACCTGGCAGGACAGGAAAGTCAGCAGGTCAGAAGCAGGTCCCCTCCCCGACACAGCCCTGCCCCTGCCCGCCCACGCCCACCTTGTAGTGCTGCCAGGTGGTGAAGAAGTTGACAGAGCCATCTTGCCGCCTTTGGATCACAGTCCAGCCTCCACCCTCCAGCTGCTGCTCACACCACGCCGACCCCACGTGCCGACCCAGTCGCAGTTCATACACACCACTCTGCCTGTGGCCTGACCGGTGGGCCTCTGCACAATCCTGCCATGGGCCTGTGGGTACAGAGATGTGGGGAAGGCACAGCCTGGACCAACCAACCCCTTGTTGGTATATAGATCTGCATTCTTCTCTCATCCCCTCACCAGAACAGCAGTCCTGCCTCTCCCATTCCCTGGCCAAAATAAGAGCCCCAGTACCCATGTCCTTACCTGAGTTAATACTCTGGTTCATTCTTTTCTCACTACAGCAAATGTGGAGCCTGGGGTACTTAAATCCTGGTTCTAAAGCCTCACCAGAGTAGAAATCCTGAACATGACCCTCTGAGCTCGCTTAAATTCTTACCAATAAGCAGTCCTAAATTCCCTGTCCCCTCATCAAAAGAAAAGCCTTTTCTTTCCTATTTTCATACCACAGTAAGGATCTTGGTCTTTATCAGGATGAGAGCCATGGCTCCTTGTTCAATCACCAGAATAAAAGCATCCTTTCTTCCAGTCCTCTTACCATGAGAGAAATCTGCCATTAAAATCCTGGCTCCTATTTCCATCTCCTCACAATGCACTGGGAACTCCCTAGCTTCTCACATCCCCAACATTCCTGCCCTCATCTTACCTGTCGGTTTGGTGGGGACAGCAGGGTGCCCTGCAGGCACAGGAGAAGCCAAGGGCCCCTGCTGTCTCGGGGTCTGGTCTCTCAGGGGCTCTGGAGCCGGGTCTAGCCTCCTGCTGGTATCATTAATGCCACCCACCAGACTGACAGGAACCACAGGCACCAGGGGCGGTGGCAGGACCTGCGGTGACCAAGAGACTCAGATGTGATTGCACTAGCCTTCAGTTGAAAAGACACTGGGCCCCTAAATCTCCCAACACCCAGATGGGTGGATCAGGCAGGGACACGTCCCAGCCCTAGAATGGATACTTCCCAAAGCCTAACTCTAGCTGTCAAGAGCAGCGCTGAGCTTAAATTCCTGCTCTGGTGTTCACAGCTTAACTTATCTGACTCTGACTCTCCTTTTCTGTAAAGTATTGATGGTAAGAGTACCTCCAACAATGAGTATTAGCTTACTGAATGCTCCCAACAGCCTTGTGAGGTATGGGTTGTCACGGAGCAACAATCTTATTCAAAATTAGGGCCAGCCATGTTCCAGAATTAAAAATAATATAACAGAAGTTAGAACAGTAGCACAGGGTCTATATTTATATCACATAACACCTCCCTAACATGGATCCTTGGTCTTTATGTAATAATATGCTTGATTACAGGCACTATGAATATTTATATTAAGTGGATAAGTAAAGACTTTAGGTAGTCGCCAGTCGCGTTCTGATCCAAATGAGCTGTGGAAGGAGAAGCAGGAATCTGGTATTTGGAGCTTTTCGGATTTCAAAACTGCGTTTCAGAGATCGTGCGTGGGGTTGCAAGAGCCCCATCTTACAAATGATGCAAACAGGAAGTGGCTACGATTCCTGGCCAGCTTTAAGGTTACCTGCTGCTGCCCACCCGTGCCCCCCGGGCACAGGCGCTCCAGGCGGGCGATGAGGCCACTCTGCTGGGTGACCAGCTGCGCCAGCTCCCGGAACTTGACATCCAGCTGGTGGAAGCGGGCGGCGGCGCGCTGCGCCTCGGCTGACACGTTGAGCACGCGCTCCCCAAGCAGCGCCAGCAGAGCAGCGGGCTCCGCCCCCGGTCCTGGACCCGCCCCCGGCCCCGCCTCGTGCTGCAGCTGCGCGCGCAACTGGCCCAGGCGCGCGCTCAGGCCGCGGCTCTCTTTGCGCAGCGCGCGCACCTCGCCGGCCACGGCGCCATCCGCCACCGCCAGCCGCTGAAGTTCGCGCAGCAGCTCCTCGTGGCGTCCCACGCGCATGCGCAGCGCTGCCACCTCGCTGGCGTTCACGGCCTCCGCGGCCGGGCGCGCGGCGGACGGCCCGCTCCAGCACACGGCGCCCGTGAACTTCTGCTGCGGCAGCACGAAGGTGTAGGTGCAGCGCGGGGCGCCCGCCCGCGCCCACGTCGCGCCCAGCAGGAGCAGCAGCTGCAACGTGCGCAGCTGAGGCGCCGACATGGCAGACCTGAAGGCAGAGGACGAACAGGAAGGAGGGGAGTCCCGGGTGCCTAGACGGGCCCCCAACTCTCGGGTTGCGCCAAACCCGCGTTGCTCCAGGTCCCCGCCCCCAGGCTGAGATGCCCCAGGGATCCCACCCTGGCCTTTCCACTTGGTTCCCGGCGCCCTGCGGGACAGCTTGTCATGCATTCATTCATTTAGTGCTTGCTGTGTGCCAGCCACGGTTCTAGGGACTACGGTATGGAACAAAACACAAAACTTCCTGCCCTGATGGGCAAGAAACAAAATAAATAAGCTATAGGGATTAATAGAGTGTATTAGCCGGTGTTAAGATAACAGGAAAACAGAGAGATGTGGAGATCTGGGCCCTGGCAATTTGAAAGGAGGGAACACCTCCTGGAGGAGGTAAGGGAGGAAGTAATGAGGATATCTGGGGAAGAACAGCATCCCTGGCAGGGGGAACAGCAAATGCAAAAGCCCTGAGGCTAGACCGTGCCTGATGTATTAAAGGAACTTATGGGGAGGCAGGAGCAGAAGGAGAACGGGTGAGAGGGGTGAGGTGGGGTGAGAGATAAAGTCTCACTAACTCAGTCTAGTAGCGGAGGCCCCATCTCCCCAAATCCCAGAGTCATTCCTGTCTCCTCTTTTTTCACAACAGATCCAACCTATCAGCCAGGCCTGTCAGCTCTTCTGTTTGGACCCTGAATTCCTCCACATTCCCCCATGCTCACCCCCCACCATGATCCCAGCTCAAGACACCATCTGGATTTCCCCCCAGGCCTCCAGTTGTCTGCCATCAGCCTCTGGTCTGTTTCTCCCACAGCTGCCAAAGAATCAGGTCATGTCTCTCCTTTTCCTAGAGAACCCTTTGTGGCTCCCAGCTCACTCAGAGCAAAAGTCCAAGTCTTCCTGCGCCCCCACAAGGCCCTGCACCCTCTTCCTGTCCCCTCCCTGCCGTCCTCTCCCACTCACCCCTCACTCACGGTGTTCGAGGCACACTGGCCTCCTAGTTGCTCCTCAAACACACCAGGCACAGTCCTGCCTCAGGGCCTTTGTACTTGCCCTTTCCTCGGTCTGGAACATTCTTCCCGGAATTTTAACATGGCCTCCTCTCTCTCCTTACTCAGGTCTTAGCTCAGATGTCCCCTCCTCAGAAGCCCTCCCTGACCACCCCCATTTAGCGTTGCTCCTCCTGGGCACTCTCTGTCACGGTCCCACTTTGTCATTTTAGCATTTGTCTCTCTCTGGAATTGCCTCGTTTGTTTGCCGGTGTTTATTATCTGAATTCCTCCACCAAAATATCCACTCGCAGAGGCTGAGCCTGGGTTTTGTTCAGCGCACGCCCCTCAACACTCACATGCCCCAGCTCTGTCGTACCCTCCCAAGTGTTGCCCTGCTCACACAGGTGAGCTCCTGTGCATGTACTGTGGCCATCTCCCTTGTCTTCTCTCTCGGGGTTCAGCCGCTTGCAGCCTCTCAGATGAGGACACACAGGCCTCTCACACGCACTTGCCAGTACTCAGAACACATCTCCCACGTCCACACGTCACCCTGGTCTGCCCCAAGTTCCACTGTGTCCAAACCCACATGTCCGGGTGGCCACACGCACGGGCAGGTGCCTCGAGGTCTTCAAGGTCACACACATCACCTTGTTCACACATTCAGCAGACGCTCCTTTCGCGCCTATTGTGTGCCAAGAGCTGGTCCAGGCAGCTGACCGCCCAGGACCAACACAGACAAATCCCTGCCCCCAGGCAGCTGACGTCCTGGATGGGAAGACAGATGGTGGGTAGGTCAGAGGGTGGTAAGTTGTTAGAACACTTAAGTGGGGATGCGGGTGGGGGTTCTGGGATGAGAGGCCTTTTTTTTTTTTTTTTAAGATTTTTTTAATTTTGAGACCGCAGACACGCGAGCAGGGGAGGTGCAGAGAGAGAGGGACGGAGGGAGAGACAGGATCCCAAGCTGGCCCTGTGCTGTCAGTGCACAGCCCGATGAGGGGCTCGATCCCATGAACTGTGAGATGGTGACCTGAGCTGAAATCAAGGCGAGGATGTTCAACTAACTGAGCCACCCAGGGGCCCAGAGGGGCCGTTTGAAACAGAGGGGTCAGAACTTACTAAGAAGAGGACACTTGAGCCAAGACCTGAAGGAAGAGACAAGGGTAAGAGCATTCCAGGCACAGGGAGAAGCAAGCCCTGAGCTAGAGCCTTTGAGGTGCCCAAGGAATAGCAGGGAAGCCTGTAAGACTGGAACAGAGCGAGCAAGGGGGAGAGCAGGAGGAATCAGAACAGGGAGGGGACGGGGCCAAGCGTGCAGGGTCTCGTGGGCCCCAGAAGGACTTGGGGTTTCACTCTGAGTGAGGTGCGAGCTCCAGAAGGTTCTGAGCTGGAGAAAGGCATATTTGCTATCATATATGCACACCAAGCCGGATCTCTCCTTGCCCCCTCCTCGACGACACCAGGCCCCCCACGACAGGGATGGACCACACCCCTTGGAGCCAGACTACATGTGTAACATCCACCACCTTCCAGGAGCTCAACCTGGGGTGCGAAGGAGGCCTGGAGAAGCCCGGGTCGCCAAACGGGTAAAATCGGCCTCCCCCTGTCCTCATGCCCTCCTTCCCTCTCACCTCTCACCTCTCACCTCTCAGGACCAAGACCCTGAGTCCAGCAAGGCTTGCAGCAGACGAGAAGTCCCAGGAGGAGCTGAGGGTCCAGGAGGAGCCTCTGAGTGAGGAAGGGGAGAGGCCGGTGGGAGAGCAGGAGGGAGGAGGCTTGGTAACCACCCCTGTCCTCCAGAGCTTGAAACCAGAGCCGTGGTGCTGAGACCAGGAGCTCCAACTGTAAATATTTATCATTTCTTGCATGAGAACCGAGGCAGAATGGCCAGACCCCTTTGCCCAGGCCACCAGGGCCTGATAACACAGGTCAGTGCTCCGGATGTTCCCCCCACAGCAGAGCACAGAGCGTGGGAGGCTGCGGGCCCCGTGAGGCGGGGGCGGGGGGGGGGGGACAGGGGGAGGACACAGACACACCACAGAGAAAGACAACAGGAAATGTTGGCACCTGCTGCCGCCAGGCGTGCCTCTAAAATCCATGCCTTCTATCTCATTTAGCCTTTGCCTTCACAACCTTTGTTCCTACGAAGCCTCATTTTACAAGAGGGAGAACTGAGCCCGAGGGAGGGTGAGTGGTTTGCCCACAGCCGCACAGCTGGAGAATGGTGGAACTCAGCCCAGGCAACTTGGCTCCCGCACTCACACACATGTACCCTGACCTGCCACACACCGTGTGCCCACGACAAGGCAGAAATCAAGACACACGGGTCCCCAGTGAGACAAACCACTGCATGGAGCCACAAAGGTAGACGTGGAATCTGCGTGTGTGTCTGCGGATTTGCCCGGCACAGGCACATATGAAGACATGGCTGGAAACATAGCACGGATTCTGGCAGCGACACACACACACACACACACTCACACACTCACACACTCACACACACACCACGACTTAAAGGAGGATACCCTGTGGGCAGAGTGGGGTCTCACACTGGCAAGCAGAGAGGCGCTAACCAGGTAGACAGTGAAACCCTGGTCCCTGCCCACTTGCCCACCACAGTGTACATGTTCCCATTTGTCTCCCACGCACACTGTCACATCCTCAGGTCAAATCATGCAGGGACAGAAAACATGCGGTCATTCCTCAGAGGTACAAAGGGACCCCCATAGAGCCCCCCCCAGAGCCTGGTCTAGGGTCTCCCACCTGCACAAAGGCCTCACTGACCTGCAGACACGCTCTCAGGGAGCAGCCTCCTTCGCCTGGTTCCTACTGTCCCGAACTCGTAACCCGAGTGGACTCCCGGGCTGAAAGAGGAAATGGTCGTCCCAGATCTGAGAGAGGCTGCCAGGCTGGGCTCCAGGCCTGGGCTGGGCCCCCCCCCCCCACACTGGGCCCCTCGGCCCCCCACCCGCAGCCCCCTCCAGCTTCCTCCATTGGCAGCAGAGAAGAAACCTCGTAAGTCACAGAGAGGGACTGACAGATGAGAGAGAGAGAGTACAAGAGACAGAGAAGGGGAGAGACATGGGAGGAGATGGACAGAGACGGGGCGGGGTGGGGGGGAGTCAGGAAGAGGGATGAGAAGAGAGAGATGGGGATAGAGACATAAGAGAGATGGAAACTTGAAGGCAATGAAAGAGACAATTGATGGCAGAGACAAAGTGGGGCAGAGGGAGACAGAGATAGGAAGAAGACAAGGATGGGGAAGGGGAGACGGAGGAGGGGAAGAGGAGAAAGAATTGGGAAGGAGAGACAGGAGAGAGGAAGCAAATGGGGGAGGGAAAGCAGATGGTGGAAGGAAACCTATGGGACAGGGAAAGAGACGTTGGGGGCGTCCCCTTTCCCCACCCCAAGGTTCTGGGGAAGAAGCCAGAGGCCTGAGGCCAAGACTGGGGCTTTGAGCGGAAACCGGGAGGGGGTGAGTTATTCACAAAGCGCCCGCCTTGCCCTAAGTTTCCAGAAGGTGATGTGGAGTTTCCATCTCTCCGCCGCAGACAGGGCCCCCGGGGAAGACCGCTGGCCCTCAGGAGCTGGGGGCCTATATACGTAATTGCTATGCTCTACCCATTTCTCTGGTTGTTCCCCAAGTGCCTGGTGCCTTTGTGCCAAGCATTGTGCATCATCTTTCTTAGTAAGTGGATCAGAGGGGAAATGAGTACCATCCTCTCTTTAGAATACTTGTAGGAGCCTCAGAGTGGATAAAATGGCTGTCAAAATCGCCCAGCTGGTATACATGAGCCGAAGTAGGATTCGAACCCCCAACTTATTTCTCCGAAGCCGGCGCCGCTTCGCTGAGACACTGGCCCCGCCCGGTTTCCATAGAAACAAGCACCAGGTGTCTCCGTAGCAACCCCTCTGTGGCTTTCTGCTCGCCTGGTGACGTCACCGCGCAGCTCCGCCTCACGTCGTCACCTCGCCGGCGCCGGAAGTGAGCGGCGCGGCGCCGGAAGCACCCGGCAGAAGCGTCCCAGCGGAGGAGTTGGCGGCATGGGGCAGTCGGGGCGGGTGAGGCGCGGCGGCCTGGGGGCGAGGGCGCGGGCGGGGCCGGCGGGGGGCCGGTGGGGTCCCTCCGGAGGCCGTGGCGCTGACCGCTCGCCTTTCGCCCCTGCAGTCCCGTCACCAGAAGCGTGCTCGCGCCCAGGCGCAGCTCCGCAACCTCGAGGCCTACGCCGCGCAGCCGCACTCGTTCGTGTTCGCGCGGGGTCGCGCGGGTCGCGGCGTCCGGCAGCTCAGCCTGGACCTTCGTCGGGTCATGGAGCCCCTCACCGCCACCCGCCTGCAGGTCTGCACCTCCCACCCCGCCTCCATCAGCCTTTGGCCCCGTCTTCGCCGCTACGGAGGTGGCTCCAACCGCAGAACCGCGCGAGCCTTCAGGCCCCCTGGCAGGAGAAGGGGACCTTTATGGGGACCATCGTCCCTGCCTCTTCGGATTTTGTGGGGCAGCTGCGAGGGGGCGCAGATGAACCCGCTTTGGCTGGATGTCTAAGACTGGTGGTTAAAAAGGGACTAGAGTCAGCAAAGCTAGAGTGGAAACTTGGGTTCTCTTAAAGGCCTGGAGAGAGTTAATTAACGTCGCAGGGCCCAGGTGGCTCATCTGCAAAATGGGCCAGGCACAGTAAACGAGCAAATTTAAGTCGGGTTAGGTCCAGAGGTCAAGAACATTCCACTCCTTTCTTTCTGCGACAGATTAAATGCAAGAAAGGGCATAAGAGCTCCAGCTTATAGCCCTTGCTCGCGGAGAGGATACCTAACGATCTTTCCGTTTTGTGTTTGTAATTCTCAGATACGAAAGAAAAACACTCTGAAGGATTGTGTGGCAGTGGCGGGGCCCCTTGGGGTCACACACTTTCTGATCCTGAGTAAAACGGAGACAAACATCTACTTTGTGAGTTAACACACCCACACCCCTCATCTTCCCCCTGCCCTCCTCCTCCCCCAACTCTCACGATGAACCCATATGCCTCTGAGTTGCCATGATTCTGGCTTCAAAGTAAACGCTCTGAAGGGATGGGGCGGAGGTTCCCACTCCCTGCTGCCTAGCTGGACACCTTGACTCTGACCAATCCTTTTGTTTTGTTTTTCCCGTAGAAGCTGATGCGCCTCCCAGGAGGCCCCACCTTGACCTTCCGGATCAATAAGGTAAGGGTCAGAGGTAACGAGGGCCATGTTGGGTAGAGGATGAATTCAGGGAGGGCGCCAGCCATGTGTGGCTGTCAGGCCTCACTCCTCCCCCCGTCCCGCAGTACACACTAATGCGCGACGTGGTCTCCTCCTTGCGCCGACACCGCATGCACGAGCAGCAGTTTGCCCATCCGCCCCTCCTGGTGCTCAACAGCTTCGGCCCCCACGGCATGCATGTGAAGCTCATGGCCACCATGTTCCAGAACCTGTTCCCCTCCATCAATGTGCACAAGGTAGGCTGGGCCTGGGGCGGTGACAGGTGAGGGTGGAAGGGCGGACAGTAGGTACCACACGTAGGCCCTTGGCTTGTTTGCTCGGTCCTTGCCTCTCAGCGCGGAGGCAGAGCACTCTGGCTCCTGAGGTCACATCTCCCTCACGTGTTCGTGACCCTGGGGTAACAGACTCCCTCGTAAGCTTTCTTCTTCTCTGAAAGGTGGAGAATGATCCTGATTGTCCTTTATTTCTTGAGTGGGGATTGAGTATTAGCCTGAGCAGCGTGCCAGGCACTTGGGACACCAGTTGATGGATGGGGAGACAGACTGACAGAGGGGAAGTCATTAGTCAGAGGTTAGACGCAGAGGGCAGGACTGGGTTTTTTAAGCTGTCTGGCTCCAGAGCCCTAGTTCCTAATCCCTGGCACCAGCGGTCTCAGGTAAGGCTTGTTAGGTGCTGATCATCAGGGAGCAGTCCACCCACAGTGTGGACGGCTTCGGTGGGCCTCAGAACCAAGAACTCTAGCCAGTGCGCCTGCCACTCCATTAGTCCCCCCAGTGCCACATCTCCCTGCTGAGAGATTTCTGGAACAGGGCCAGGGCCTGCTGTGGCTCCAGCACACAGGGAAGCCCGTGGGCAGTTGACATGTTGCTGTGCCCTCGCCTCTCCCTTCCAGGTGAACCTAAACACCATCAAGCGCTGCCTTCTTATCAACTACAATCCTGACTCCCAGGAGCTAGATTTTCGTCATTAGTGAGTACTCTTGTTGAGGGGCGGGGGGAGGGGAGGAGGCAGGGCTTCCACGTGTGGCTGATGACAACGCTCCTGCTGAGGCTCTGTGATTGTCCAGTTTCAAAGTAAACGCCCTGACGCACTGTGGAAAGGGGAGGGGGGCAGAGCTGACCCCAGTCTCAGGATCCCTAACCCCCCTTCTCACACCCTGGGTGTTGCAGTAGCATCAAAGTCGTTCCTGTGGGCGCAAGTCGTGGGATGAAGAAGCTTCTACAGGAGAAGTTCCCCAACATGAGCCGTCTACAGGACATCAGCGAGCTATTGGCCACGTGAGGAGGGCACTGGGTGGGGAGATCACTACCGCGCCGGAGACCCCGGAGCTGTTCCAGGAGCCTGGGATCCCCTACTAACCAGTGTGTCCTCTGCACAGGGGCGCCGGGCTGTCCGAGAGTGAGGCAGAGCCCGATGGGGAGCACAACATCACGGAGCTGCCCCAAGCCGTCGCGGGACGCGGCAACATGCGGGCCCAGCAGAGTGCCGTGCGGCTCACTGAGGTGAGGGCCCAGCCCAGGGCAGGCCCAGGGTCAGAAGTGACTTCCTCTGGCAGTACCCCTCCGCCTTCCCCCCGGCCCTGAAGAAGGACTGACTTGTCCCCTATGTCCCTCCAGATTGGGCCCCGGATGACACTGCAGCTCATCAAAATCCAGGAGGGTGTTGGGGAAGGGAACGTGCTGTTCCACAGTTTCGGTGAGAATGGGGCTGGGGAAGCAAGGGGCTGGGAGTCCAAGGCCCTCACGGGTGGGTCGCGAGGTGCACTGACACATCTGGGTCTCCGTGACCCATCTCTTCCCGCTCAGTGCACAAGACTGAAGAGGAGCTTCAGGCCATCCTGGCGGCCAAGGAGGAGAAGCTACGGCTCAAGGCCCAGAGGCAGGACCAGCAGGCCCAGAATGTTCTGCGCAAGCGGGAGCAGCGGGAGGCACACAGGTGTGTGGCCGTGGGCCGTGCAGGTGAGGCAGGGTCTCAGGTGCAGGCCGCCACCCTAAATGATCTCTCCCTCCAGGAAGAAGAGCCTGGCAGGCATGAAGCGGGCGCGGGCAGAGGCCAGTGGGGATAGCGATGCCGAGGACCCCGGCGCCCCCCCAGAGGGGACCGGCCAGCGAGAGGAAGAGGAGGATGAGGCCGAGTATTTCCGCCAGGCAGTGGGAGAGGAGCCTGATGAGGGTATGTGGCAGGGGTTGGTGCAGCTGGGCACCTTGAGCCCGTCCCTGTGGCCTGGTGGCCTTGACGTGGTCTCTCCCCACAGACATGTTTCCGAAGGCAGCCAAACGAAGACGGCCTGCCGGGCCCCCCGGCAAGAAGCAGCAAGGAAGGGGGCAGAGGCCAGATCGAGGTGCTGACCGGAGGCCTCCAAAGGCCAAGGGCAGGCAGCGGGCCCAGGCCAAGCTGGAATGCAGAGGAGCTGCCTGGGAGCACAGGCGGGGCCGAGCACGGCCACCTAAGAAAGCAGTCTGAGGCCAGGCCGGTGCAGTGGATGGAATGCCCCAAATTGGGGCCCAAGAGCCTTTGCCCTGGGCTTCCACCTGGGCCTCCAGGGGCAGCCCTCGGTTTCCTTTCATAAAGGAGCGGTTTTCTCCAACCTCCCACGCTGGTGAATGCTTGATTTCCCGTGAGTCTTGCGTCTGCATTGGGAATGGGGAGAGCTGGAGTCTCGTGGTAGAAAGCCCAGAGGCTCGGGGCCAGGAGCTTCTGGGAACCGGGCTAGGTTCGCGCCCACATCCTAAGCAGTGGACACGTGGGAACTGTTTTGCAGGTGAGGGCGATGGGCAGATTGAGTCTGGTGCCTCGGGGTGTCCTTGGCCTGTCCCCAGCCTAACCCCCCAGGCCCCTGTTACCCGCAAGCCAGTGACTAGGCTGCTCTGGAGGACAAAGTGTGAGGAGGAAGGAGGCCGGGGGTGGAAGCGAAGCTGGCTGGTGTTGGCAGTGGGCGGAGCTGAGCTGCCAGCGCTGAGAGAAAGAGGGTGGGGCTGCTGGGAAGGAAGGGGCCCGCCAGGCCGCTGGTTAGCTCGGCAGCGGCTCGGCTCAGCACCAGTGCTCCTGGTGGTGCGGCTTCGGCGCTGGACCCGGAGGCAGGGCACGTGGGCCATGGCTGCCGCCACATCAGGTGAGGGTCCTGGCCCCTGTGGCGCTGCCCAGGACCGAGGCTGGGGGTGGCCGGCTCCTGGGAGGCAGACGGGAGGGACTTAATTGCGTCTGGACAGGAACTTCCTCCCAGGGCGGAGATGGGACGAGGAGGCAGAAGCGTGGTTGGGGAAGCAGTCGCGTGGGGGAGGGAGGGCCGCTGGCACCTTGCATGGAGCTCGTGGCCAGCCTGCTGGACAGACTGGGAGCAGGCCGTGCACCCAAAGCTGAGGCTAAGTTGGGTACGTGAGAGGGAATCCATTCCAGATCTCTGTTCTGGTCCACGCTGCTGTGTCCCAGGCCTTGTTCTGGGCTCTGGGAAGCCAGTTGTGGGGCACTCCCTGCCCTCAGGAGAGGTCTTCTGGGTTGGGTTTGGTTTTTTTTTTTTTTTTTTTTTTTCCCCTCTCAACAGGGGTCAGATGGAAGCACAGGATTCGCATAAATAAGGGGGACAGGGTGCAGTTGTGATAATAGAGGGTCAGAATATGCCTCTCAAAAAAAACCCTCTCAGGGCTAAAGACCAGGAGGTGAGTGGGGGCACTGGTGACTCAGGAAGAGAGAATCAGTGCAAAGGCCCTGAGGCAGAATGCGCCTTAAGGAATAGAAAGCCAGTGTGGGAAGAAAAAAAAGCTAGTGTGGGAAAGACCTAGGGAATGAGTCACAGGGAGATGAGAGGGAGCAGCTGGACGGAGGTTTGCTCCTGGGGCCCCTCCGTGGCAGAGGTGAGCACTGCCTTTTCCTCCCAGTGAGGAGGGAGCCTCAAAGGTGAAAGCCGCCTGATTCGGGTGTCTTTGGGTGCCCTCTGGAGGCCATGGGGGGAACACATAGGGAGGTCGTTGGGAGCTGGGAGGCCAGTGCCTCTGGCACTGAGAAAGTGACCGACTCTGAAGGTGGAGGCAGCAAGGCTTGATGGATTTGGGAGGGCCATGGGGGGGTTGGGGACTCCCCCGGACTCCCCCGCCTCCACGCAGGCCTGGTGGTTGTGGATTGTCATTGCTGGCTTATGGCTGTCACGTGAAGGTGATGGCTACCTAGTTCTGGAATTCAGGACCCAGAGCAAGCCTGGTAGATACCACCTGAAAGGACTCGGGCTTCTGACGTTTCTGGGCCCGATTTCCTCCGTAAGAAGTTGCTGTGGCTGGTGTCCCCTCCTGGGCATGGGAAGGACTCCGAGAAAGTGTGTCCCCAAAGGGCTGGTGCAGCCCACCACGTGGTACGTAATCTGAAGGACTGGGCTCTGAAGGCATCAAAAGCCACGCGAGCGGGGCGCCTGGGTGGCGCAGTCGGTTAAGCATCCGACTTCAACCAGGTCACGATCTCACGGTCTGTGAGTTCGAGCCCCGCGTCGGGCTCTGGGCTGATGGCTCAGAGCCTGGAGCCTGTTTCCGATTCTGTGTCTCCCTCTCTCTCTGCCCCTCCCCCGTTCATGCTCTCTCTCTGTCCCAAAAATAAATAAACGTTGAAAAAATATATATATAATAAAAAAAAAAAAAAAACCACGCGAGGAGGGACGGCGCTCACTTGGTGACACCATCTGCCCACAGGTGCCATACCCTGCCCGACCAACTTCTCGGCCGCCGCCGATCGCGTCCTCAGTCGTTTCCAGGAAGACTTTCTGTGGCCCGTGCTGGTGGTTGAGTTCCTGGTGGCCACGGCCAGCAACGGCTTCGCCTTATACCGCTTCGGCACGCAGGAGCGGCGCCCGTGGCACCCGGCTGTGGTCTTCTCGGCACAGCTGGCCGTCAGCGACCTGCTCTACGCCCTGACGCTACTCCCGCTGGCCGCCTACCTCTACCCCCCCAAAAACTGGCAGTATGGGGAGCTGGCGTGCCGCCTGGAGCGCTTCCTCTTCACCTGCAACCTGCTGGGCAGCGTCCTCTTCATCACCTGCATCAGCCTAAACCGCTACCTGGGCATCGTCCACCCCTTCTTCACCCGCAGCAGCCTGCGCGCCAAGCACGCCTGGGCCGTCAGCGCTGCCGGCTGGGTGCTGGCAGCCGTGCTGGCCGCGCCCACGCTCGGCTTCTCCCACCTGAAGCGGCCACAGCAGGAGGGGGACTGCTCTGTGGCCAGGCCGGGGGCCTGCACCAAGTGCCTGGGGACGGCGGACCAGCACCTCGAGGCCTACGGAGCCTACAGCCTGGCGCTGGTCACGGCGGGCTGCGGCCTGCCGCTGTTGCTCACCCTGACGGCCTACGGCGCCCTCGGGTGGGCAGTGCTGCGCAGCCACGGCATGACGGCGGCCGAGAAGCTGCGTGTGGCGGTGCTGGTGGCCAGCGGCATGGCCCTCTACACCGGCTCCTACGTGCCCTACTACGTGACACTGGTGCTCAACGTGTCCGCCCGACAGCACTGGAGAGCCCGCTGCCCGGGCTTCGCTAACTCGGCCGAGGCCGAGGCGGCGCTGGATTGGAGGATCTACGTGAGCCACCAGGTGATGCGGGGCCTCATGCCCGTGGCCATCTGCATCCACCCTCTGCTTTACATGGCCGTGGCACCCAGCCTCGGCTGCTGCCCCGGTCCAGGAGGCTGCCTCGGCTGCGGGGAGAGCCAACCCCCCGAGGACGCCGACGCCGGGAGCTCTGGCCAAGTCCTGCCCCTCAATGTCACAGCCACCCCCAAAACCTCGGGGTCCTAGTCCCCCGAGCTGAGCCGACGACCCGGCCTATTTTGAGCCACTGCCGCCTGCCCTGGAATCCATCCGAGAGCATGGCAGGCCCCAAACCGCCACTTCCTCCGTGGTCTACAGAAAGACCTGATGGGGGACTGAAGGTGCCCAGGCCAGGGAGGGCAGGAACTTCTGCCCGAAGCCCTGATCCCGGAGAGGGCTGGCCCCCACTAGCCACAGAACAGGTGACTAGACAAGGTGAATAAACAAGACAGCACATGACAACCGCAACCTTTTTATTGCCGGGAGCCCCGCACTCGGAGGAGCTGGCTTCCGTGGGGGCCCTGGGGGCCGGGTGGCTGCTGGCTTAGTTGGTTGACGGCCTGAAGAGAGAAATGGGTAGTGAGAGCAGCCTGTGGGGGAGGAGTTCAGATCCCAAAGGGAATTCCAAGACTTCTTGCTACATACAACTGGGGCCTCCGTGGCAATGGGGGGGGGGGGGGCGCGGGGCAGGGTGCACAAGGCGCAGTGGGGCCTCCTTAAGAAAAGGACAGTAAATGACCCGTCCCTCGGAACAAGCTTGGTGGCTATTAAGCTGGCGCAGGGCCTACGGTCTGAGTGTTGGATGTGACAAGGGGGCGGGAGGCAGGGGTGCAGCAGTGGTCTTACTTGGCCCACTCGACATTGAGGATGAGGTGGTCATATCCAAAGCCAGACACCCCGGCGATGGCGCGTGCGGCATCCTCACGGCGGTGGAAGCTGATGAAGGCAAAGCCCTGGGCGGGGGGGGGGGGGGGCCGAGTCAGGGGCACAACCAGGCCAGGCGACCCCTTCCCCAACCCCCACAGCCACCAGCCCACCTTGGACTGGCCAGTGGTCTTGTCCTTCGCCAAGTAGATGCGAGATATGGAGCCAAAGGGCCTGAAGAGTTCCTGCAGGTCAGTCTCGCGAGTGTCCTCGGACAGGTTGGTGACACGGATAGTGGCGTTGTCGTCAGCTGGACATGCAAGGAGAGGCAGCTGGTAAGAGAGCGGCCCTCACCAGACCCTGGACAAAGGATCGTCACGGGGGGAACGGGAGGCGCCCTCCCGCTGGCTCACCTCTGCGGTTGGGCTGCATAGACTCCCCACGGCGGCTGGCCCCATCCCGCAGGCTCGGGGGCACGTACTTCCCGGTCTTGTTCTGGGCAGCCTGCACCGGCTCCAGCTCTGGAGGCCAAAGCAGTTGGGTCAGGCTCCACCCGGCGCAGATGAGGGACAGGCCCGCCCCAGGAGGCTGGCAGTTCTGGCCCCAGGCCGGGCCAGGCACCGTCTATCAAACTGCATGCATCTGGCCGGTTCTCAGGCCCCGTGGCCACATGGACATAAAGGTCACATCCAGGAAGTCCGAAGAAGCCACAGACGCTGATGCAACCCAAGGCAATTGTAGCTGAGGGCGGGAGGACCGCTCAGCTTCACAACACACAGGAACACGGCAGGGACAGTCCCCAGGTCCCACACACTCAGGCAAATGCCACGTATGCTGCGTATCAAGTCACAGGTATAGAACTGTCCAGACACACACACACACGCAGAGCCGTGGTCGTGTCTGTGGCAGACACGGCACACCCGAGTCCACAACAGAATCACAGCTGGTAAGTCTCAAGCATGTGCGGTGTAGACACAGCCGTGGAAAGCAATGGTCTGCCAGCCCCAACCAGAAAAGATGCGCGACATCACCAGCAGTCACCAACCCAGCCACGCTCTCTCACGCGCACCCAGGCCGCAGCCAGCCTCGCGGTGCTGACGTGAGAGGACAACTTGCGAGGGGGACGGCCCCGTCCCCCGACGGCAGGTGAAGACCAAGGACCCTCCCGGAGTTGCACGCGGTCCTCCCCGCCCCCGCCCCACAGACCGCCAAGCTGCATCCCCAGGCCCGGGCACCTCCAGGCAGCTTCTCCTTCTCGCCGGTGGACAGGCCCAGCTGCTCCGCCAACTCCTTCTGCATAGGCCCCAGAGTGTCCTTGTAGGGACAGCGGGTAGTCCAGTGGTCACCCTTGCAGATGCGGCAGGACACAATCTTCTGGCCCTTGAGCTTGTTCATTGGGTCCTCCTCTTCCTGGCAGTTCAGATCCTAGGCGGGCAGTCAGGGGACGCTCAGAGCGGAACTGCCACACCCCGGCCACCACCATCACGGCCACTGGCCCTGCCCTGTTGCCCCACTCACCTCTTTGCTAGTTATGAATGTCATGGACACATCGTCACTGACTGTGGTGGTGGCCACGTTGGGCCCCGGTGGGTCAAACTCTGAGTTCCCAAACTTCTTCCAGTTCTGGGCTCGGGGCGGGATGAGGGACAGGTTAAGGCCATGTAGGACCCCCTTCGCCGACATCCCAGACCACAGTAGCCTGTCGGGGCCTGAACCACATTCTTCGCCCTCCCCCAAAGCCCCCCCCGAGCGGTGACAATGACAGTTCCTGTTTCCTAGTGTGTACCACTCCTGGCATGTGCCGGGCCTCAACCTCATGCCGGCTCCAGGAGGCAGGTAGGGACAGCTCTCAGCCCCAAGTTCCAGATGAGAGAGCCAAGGCCCGGCAGGAAGCAGCCGCACAGCCAACCATTCCCGGGGACCCGTGACAGTAGGTGGGCCAGCTCCCACAGGAAGCGATGCTCAGGGGTGTGCAGGGGTCACCCAGACCATGAGGGGCCTTGAGCTAGTTAAACAAGCTAGGCCTCGGCATCCTCCCCTAGAAGACGGGGACCACAAACGCTCCCCGCCTCCCAGGGTTGCTAGGGGGATCCGATGAGAGAACACTTCCCGCAGAGCACTTGGCACGGGGTCTGGCACAGAGAAAGAGCACAGAAAGTTGTGCCAAACGTATTTATCGTTACTTCTTCCCCAAGCGTGCAGCCCAGTCGATCAGGAACTGCTGTGACCACCTCAGGGGAGGGCTTGGCTCCGTTCCTCCTGGTGGACAAGCTGAGAGGACTGAGAATCTAACCCCACTGACTTTTCAGTGCCCCAGCAGAACACACACCGACGTCAGCCATGCTCCAACACAATAGGTGCCTAAAACTAAAGGCACCAGAAAAAAGGGATTCCTAATTCCTCTGAGCCAGCCCCGGGGGAGCCCCCGAGACAGGAGCAGGGTCTCACCTTCCTCCTCGCAACAGCCTTTGAGGCCTTCCGAGTCTCAATTCTGAAGGTACGAACGATCTGTGGGGGGGCCCCCCCCCCCCCCGAGGCTCGGACTTCCTGTGTCTCTGAGGCACCTGGAGCCAGCCAGCCCAACCCACCCAACACCCACACGCCGTCCCCTCCCGGCGCAAGTGCCCTCAAGAGCAAGGGCACCCACCTCCTCCCCCAGCCTCACCTTGAACTTCTTGCCGTCCTCATCTATCTTGTACTCCGTCACCGTCTTGATGTTTCCATTGATGACCTCCTTGGGAGGCGGCAGCGGAGCTGGGAGAGAGGAGAGGTGAGGGAGCTGAGCCCCGGGGAATGGGGACCAGGAGGGAATGCCGCTGGGGAGAGGCAGCCCCGAATGGAGCAGAGGTCGCCACTCACCTCCGGGCACTAACTCGGGTTCCGGGCTGGTGTCGCCAGTGGCCAGAGGGATGCCCTTGAGGAGCTCGCTGGTGACACATTTGTCTACAAAAGGGAGTGTAGGGAGGAAGGGTGAGCTGGAGGAGCGGGGGCGCCCGAGACAAAATGAAGGGCCCTTTGGGTGGAGGCCCACACCAGGAGCCCGGGAAGGCGGGACAAGGGCTGGGCGCTGGCGAAGAACTGCCCCGGGACAGCCGTGCCCGGACGTGGGGCTGGCTGGAGTAACCTCGAGCAACGGCAAGGATGGAAGCGGGGGCAGCCCATAAAGCCCTCCCGGCGCAGGCATAAAGGCAGGAGGCGGGCTGCTACAACTTCCTCCCCGGAGCAGCTACGAGGGCTGGGCGGTGGCACGGGAGGAGGGCCGGGCCAGCGATCATCTGGAACTGGCGACAGGCTGGCCCGGAGGATGGCGCGGGACAGAGGCCGCCGCGATGGGGCCTACGGGATCGGACCGCGGTGGCAGGGCCGGAGCAGGCGGCAGCGACCGGCCCGGGGGCTGGCTGAGGTGACCGGGGACGACCGGGCATACTCACCGTCCTCGCCCTCCTCCTCCACCTGGTCGGCCCAGCTGGGCTTCGAACTGCAAGAAGTTTGCGGAGGGGAGGGCTGGGTCAGCGAGGCCAAGCCCACGCCGCCTCGACGTACCCAGGCCCCGTGGTGCTCCCTAGACCCCCCAGCCCCCCTCCCAAGGTTCGCTCCGGGACCCCCGACTCACTCAAAGTCTCCAGTCGGCATTTCACGAGCCTCTCCACGCAGCCCAATCCCGGGCCAGAGACCGGAAGTGAAGGGAGCACGAGACTTCCCGTGCCGCCTAGAGCGGCCCGGCCGCAGCGCCCACAGCGCCCTCTGCGGACGGAGGTGGAGATGCCGGCTGGGTGAGCCGCTGGGCGCGGGCCCCCAGTCTGAGCGGAGGAGCGATCCATTTACCTTTGAGAAAAGTTTTTAAAAAACGTAATAACTATAAAGCTCACTTACTGGGAGCTTACTGCAGGCCAGGCACCGTGAGGAGGAAATTATCATTTTCGTTTTGCCGCTGAAGAAATCAAGGCTGGTCTTCCTAAGTCTGGGAAGAGTTTTCCTGATTCCAATGATCAAGATGTTGTCTCCCACCTTTTCCATTTCATTCTCCCTCCCAACATTCTTGGCTCTCCGATGTGACCTTTTCCACTTATTTGTTTATTGCCCAACTCTCCCTTTAGAGTATTATTCTCAGTGGGAGCCACATGGCTCCCAAGGGGGCCAACAATAATTCTTGGCCTTAGGTATTACAATGGCTTGTGGCCCTCCAAAACCAACTCTTCTAGACAAGGTCTTCATTTTTTTTTAAGTTTATTTATTTATTGAGAGAGAGAGAGAGAGAGAGAGAGAGAGAATCCCAAGCAGGCTCCACGATGTCAGCCCATAGCCCAACTCGGGGCTCTATCCTACGACTCTGGGACCATGACCCGAGCCGGAATCAAGAATCAGATGCTCAACCAACTGAGCCACCCAGTTGCAATGCAAACCCAGCCCCAATGCAAACTTTCTGGGTGGAAATTCGACAGACAACATCCACTAAAACTTGAACATATGTGTATTTTGTTTTATGGTGGCAAAGACCTACAATATTCTATCAGTTTTAGGTGTGCATGATAGCGATTTGACAATTGCACAAATCATGCAGCATTCACAAGAAGTGCGGTCACCATCTGTCATCATACCATGTTATTCCAATATTATTGACTGCCTTCCTTATGTTTTCACCACCATGACTTGGTTACTTTAAAACTGGAACTTTCTACCTCTCAATCACCTTCACCCATCTCACCCATATCTGTTTCTTTAGAGCAAGCAAGTCAATCAACCTGTGAGAAAACTTGTAAATGCATGTGAAGATGTAAAAATTAGATACATGTGCAGTCTCGTTCGTGATAGAAAAAACTGGAAATGCTATCTGTCTGCTCATAGATTAAATAGATTACAGTATATTATGCCACAATCTGTGTCATGCTCTGCAGTCTTCAAAGAACCGGATCCATTTGTGGTTATGTTTAAAGTTTATCTAAGTAGTCTCTGCCCCCAACATGGGGCTCGAACTCATGACCCCGAGACCAAGAGCCGCATGCTCTACTGACCGAGGCAGCCAGGCACTCCCGATTTGTGGCTTAAAAAAAAAAAAATCTCCAAGACACGAGGAGGGAGCAAGATGTAAAATGGCAGATGATGTAGGGACCCATTCGTGTAAATGTTTAGTAGCACATATAGGTAGACACATGCGAACTATTTTCCGAAAAGAAATATCAAATTGTGTCTGAGGGATGCTTCAAGAGGAAGGCATCAGGGGAGGAAAGCTTGTTTTTGTTTGGACTTTTCTCCTATAGTTAACATTTTTTACCATGTGTATACATTATTTTGGTTTAAATAAAGGCATACACATAAAATTACACACTTTATGCTTTTGGGTTTTGTTTTGTTTTGTTTTGTTTTGTTTTTGAGAGAGAGCATGAGCACGGGAGGGACAGAGGGAGAGGGAAAGAGAAATTTAGGAAGGCTCTATGCCCAGCACAGAGCCAGACATGGGACTCAATCCCGTGACAATGAGAGCATGACCTGAGCTGAAATCAAGAGTCGGACACTTAATCGACTAAGCCACCCAGGCACCCCGGAATAGTTCTTGGGGCGCCTGGGTGGCTCAGTCAGTTAAGCGTCCGACTTCGGCTCAGGTCATGATCTCACGGTCCACGAGTTAAGCCCCACATCAGGCTCTGTGCTGACAGCTCAGAGCCCGGAGCCTGCTTCGGATTCTGTGGCTCCCTCTCTCTCTGTCCCTCCCCCGCTCACTCTCTCTCTCAAAAATAAACACCGAAAAAATATTTTTTTTAAAATAAGCGAAATGCTTTTTCTCAAACATCATGTATCACTTTTACAAAAAGTCAGGTATCTCCCAAGGAAAAACAAGAGGCCCCAAGGGAGCACAGGGACGTAGGGAGAAGCTGGAGTCCGAGGGTGGATGGATAACAAAAAAAGCCCCCGAGTCCCTCTCCTCCAGCCCTCCCTCGTAGCACCAACATGCCTCCCGCGCCCAGAATCTCCACAGGACAGCAGCAAACCAGCTGTGCGAAGCGCACGAGGAGGGGAGTGAGGACACGCCCACACGGAACGCATCCTCCGGGGATTGCGCGGCAGCTTCGGGGCGATTCGCTAGATCTCCCCGTGTAGACCGAATTCCACTTCTTGGTATTTTCCATAAGGAACAAACGCACGTCCACGAGGACCCGCGTGTTAGGGTGTGCACACGAACGTCCGTAGCCACTTTATTCACAATGGCTAAAAGCCACTTTATTCACAATGGCCAAGCACCGCTTGGCTTAGTGGGCTAGGGCTACCACCACAAGAGCACCACAGGCTGGGGGTCAAGGACATTCCTGCAGGCTGGAAGTCCAAGGTCAAGGCATCGGGCAGGCTGGTTCCTCCCGAAGCCTCTCTCCTTGGCTCGGGGACGGCCATCTTCTCCCTGTGTCATCACGTGGTCCTTATATTGGAGTAGGGTCCACCTTAATGACCTCATTTTAACTCCATTATTTCTGTAAAGGCCTCATCTCCAAAGACACTCACATTCTGAGGTCCTAGGGGTCAGGGCTGAAACACGAGTTTTGGGGGCACACGATGGAGCCCATAATACAAATCAAAAGTCCATCGGCAGACGAATGGGAAGCCAGAGGTAACTGTGTGCTTCTCTACAGCGGGCACAATGTAGCCATAAAGGAGCAAACTAATACCCACGGTGACGTGAATCCGCATCAGAGACACAAAGGAAGTGGCCCCACACGATAGCACTTGTGTGAAATCCTCAAACCACTACCTGAAGTCAGAACTGAGAGGCTCTCTGAGGGTGGAGGGAGGGGTGCCAGGCATCCTCCCAGGGTGATGAGAGTTTCTAACACGTCCACCTGAGCAGGGGTGATGACACAGGCAGGCACGCGCATAAAAAGTAATTCAGCTGAGGGGGCGCTCGGGTGAAGCACCCGACTTCGGCTCAGGTCATGATCTCGCTGTTCGCGGGTTCGAGCCCCGCGTCGGGCTCCGTGCTGACGGCTCAGAGCCTGGAGCCGGCTTCGGATTCTGTGTCTCCCTCTCTCTCTCTGCCCCTCCCCTGCTCATGCTCTTTCGCTCTCTGTCTCAAAAATAATAAATAAACGTTAAAAAAAACAAAATAATTCAGCTGCGCTTATAAGATCTACACACCTTAATGAAATCCAGAGGGGAAGAAAGCAAGGTTCAGTCACAGGAAGAAGACCCCCAAGCCCAGCCATGATTCTTGACGGAGTCCATTAGATCAGAGGCCACAAAAGGATCATCGAAATCCATTCTCTCACCTGCATCTATCAACTGCCATTCTATTGCAGACAGAGCTTTCTCCTCACCGGTGGGCACCACCTGCGTACTAAATACAGTTCGTGCCACAAGGAAGGCCTGAGTTCCCCCTCTGAATGACCTCGAAGTGCAGCCATCGCGTTTAATAAGTCACCTCAAATGGTCACAAGGCTTTGAGCCACCAGGGGATTTCATTGATCAAATGTACCGCAATCTACTACAATCACCATTCTTGTCACGTCCCCAATTCCACTAGGGTCTCCTTCCCACGAAAAGGCTGAACTAAACTCTGACAGAAGGAAGAACATTCTCTGCCAGGCAGGCAGGGCAGCGGAAGCTGCTGGAAGCCATGTCCCCTCCCTCTGCCCCACACCAGCACAGCAGCGCCCCCTTGGTCCACAGCCCGGCTCAGGCGAGTGCTCTCGGGGTACACGGAGGCAGGTGTGCCTCGAAAGGCAGTCACTCACCTGGGCCACCCCTCGAGGGACAGCCCGCTGCCCAGCTGAGACCTAATGGCTGAGCCACAGCGGAAAACAGCTTCTACCACTTACGCTAAAGTGAATCCTCAAGTTCTTGGTTAGCGTGTTGCATACCCGAAACACAGACTCCCAACTGGAAACAAAAATCACGAAAATAAGGGAATTCAGGTTGGCTAGGTAAAACGAAACAAAACAACCACCTAGTACACAAAGTCAATAATCAATACGAGTCAATCTTTCTGTAGAAGCAAAGAACCACTGCTTAAGAAAGGAGCCTCGGGGCGCCTGGGTGGCGCAGTCGGTTAAGCGTCCGACTTCAGCCAGGTCACGATCTCGCGGTCCGTGAGTTCGAGCCCCGCGTCGGGCTCTGGGCTGATGGCTCAGAGCCTGGAGCCTGTTTCTGATTCTGTGTCTCCCTCTCTCTCTGCCCCTCCCCCGTTCATGCTCTGTCTCTCTCTGTCCCAAAAAAAATAAATAAACTTTGAGAAAAAAAAAAATTAAAAAAAAAAAAAAGAAAAAAGAAAGGAGCCTCTTCCCTGCCTCCCACCAGAAAACAAAAAAGAAATCCCATTTACGGTAGGAATGAAAGGATTAAATACCTAGGAATCCAGTTAAGAAATCTGTAGTACATGGGATGCCTGGGTGGTTCAGTCGGTTGAGCCTCCGACTTCAGCTCAGGTCATGATCTCACGGCTTGTGAGTTCGAGCCCCGCACTGGGCTCTGTGCTGATGGCTCAGAGCCCGGAGCCTGCTTTGGAGTCTGTGTCTCCCTCTCTCTCTGCCCCTCCCCTGCTCATGCTCTGTCTCGGTCTCAAAAATAAATTAACATTACAAAAAAAATTTTTTTTAAGAAATATGCAGTACCTAGGAGTGACTGGGTGGCTCAGTCAGTTGAGCCCCTGACTCTCGATTTCGGCTCAGGTCACCTTCCCAGGGTTGTGGGATGGAGTCCTGTGTCCACCTCGGCGCTGGGCGTGGGGAGCCAGCTTACGATTCTCTC